ATCGCCACGGGAAACCTCTAGAACAACCGGAGAGACCCTCCAACCGTAAATAATTCAGTTTAACTCCCACCCCGTTGCAGGAAGTTCCTTGAATCGATTGGTTATTGCAATAACCTGGTGCCCCAAACCATCGCAGAATAAGCCCTCTCGGTAAATATTAGAAGGAATGCAACAATACGCATGATCTAGGGCGGTCGGATACTTATGACCGCTACTGTATGTTCTTTTTTAGAAAATAATTCCAATCGCGATCGATTTATTTTGATCTGTAAGAGTGATACGTAGTTAGTGGAATTTGATAAAGTCAAATATATGTGAGGAAAGATTTTGATACGTATTTATGTACTATGCTCGCTCCTACTTACACTTTCTACTCCGGACTCTTCCCTTACAATTATTATTTTAAATTTGATAAAGTGGAGTCGAAATTGTCAGTGCTGTTTAATCAGGTTATTTAGCTTTTCTCCCACATATGCAGTGTTTATGTAGTTGGTCCAATTCTGGCGTATCGGTTGATAGGATGAGGATTCGATTTCTTCCTGGGTTTGTTACCAGTCTGTAGATTAGTACATTTTCTTAATTCCTTCAGAGAAATTGAATATGTATAGAATGCCTCTAGCTTTTTACCACTGCGTTGGTAACCTGGCCTGGTGGTAGTACGGAATTTATTAGTACATTCAAATGTTTCATACTCGTTACTTTTCGTTATGGTATCCTTTATTTGTTCTTTCCGTTTTCTACGGTCCTGACGGTAACTTGTGTTGGCTGATTAAAAGCAGAAGGATCAATTCCTTCTTTAGTCGGGATGCGGTTAAGTTCTTTAACCTGCTGTACCTAGTTCTGTCGTATTAGTTCTTTCAGTGTTTATCTGACGAGTGGCACTGAAGGATGACTTTCCTTCCCCCTTCCTACGGCAAGAGATGAGCCAATTTTTGATGTTAGCTTTTGATCACTTTTCGCGTTATTCTTAATGTCATCGCTATTAGTGAACCGGCAATGCAAATTTGGAGGGAGCAGACAGAACGGTCCGCGCTGGCACGCGTTGTAGTTGAAGTAAATCCTTTTGTTCATTCTATCGTATTGAAAATCGAATGAATGATGCGGTAATGTGTTACCGTCACATGTAATGATGGCGAAAAAATGTAGTGCATGTGATGATGAACCAATCCGAATGCGCAAAAATTCTACGCAACCAATAGGAATGTAGCAAATTTTTGATCAACACGACAAAACAAATCTGGAACAAGAAAATGAGAAAGACAAAAAATGCGAAAAATACAAAAAACAGATATCAAAATCTAGCTTGGCGCACAAAAAATGTCGGGAAGACAATTTATATATAACCTTAACCTCAGCTCTAACCCGCATTTACTAATTCCCCCAAGTTCTGATTGGTTAAGGATATTAAAGGTTAATTTTAGCATTAAGGTTAAGGTTAGGGTTAGAGTGGAGATCAAGGTTATGTGTAAATTGCTTCCCTGACATTTTTTATTAGTGCTTCAAACATTCGTTTTCTGTATATTTCTTTTTTAATTTTCTTGTGTCGCATTTGTTTTGCCGGATTGATAAAAAATTTATGCATTTTTATTGGTTAATCTAGAAGACCCCCGGTGTGTAGTCAACCAATCAGCGAATGAAATTACTTGCGTCCAATCAAAACTGGGGAAAATTAGTAAATGCCTCTAACCCTAACCCTAGTACAGTGCTCCGCAGAAGCAACCGACTCGCATAACTTTCCGAAAATCATGTTTAATGTAATACCATCCGATTTGCTGAATCTATGCAAATCAAATGGTGGTATTTTCGCTCAAATCGGATCGCTGGATGTCGAGATATTACATTCTAAAATGAATTGGTTCAATTTAGGATGTAATATCTCGACCGCCAGTGATCCTATTTGAATAAAAATAATATATATGGTGCATAACATCTAAAGTCATCAAACATTTGTATTTTACAAAATGTATAAACTTCTTTACTAAGAAGTAAATACAAGATTTAAACCGTGAATATGTTAGAATAGCCCCTTTCTGAACATATTTACGGATTAAATTTTGTATTTACTTCTTGGTAAAGAAGTTTATCCATTTTATAAATACAAACGTTTGATGACTTTAGATGTTATGCACCATACCATTCGATTTGTCTAATCAAGATGAATGGTGGTATTATTTTTGTTTGAATCGGATCGCTGGAGATTGAAATATCACGTCCTAAATTGGCTGATTCATTTTTGTCTGCATTAGAAAAAATGAATCTGCTACTTTAGGATGCAATATTTCGACGTCCAGTGATCCGATTTGAACAAAAATATTACCATTCGATTCATCTCGACTAGGCGAATTGAATGATAGTATTTTGTTCAAACCGGATCACTGGATGTCAATAATTAGATTATTGGATATTGAGATGTGTGTTATGAAATAACTGCTTATACGTATTTGGAACGTGAAAGTTTGTGAACATTCTACCAATCTATAAAAGGCATCATGATCAGCATTTGTAATGTTCTTTGTATCCGGAAATCTTCATAATATTACACATGATTTTCGTGGGTCGGTTACTTCTGCGGAGCTGTACATGAACTTGATACATGTATCTAATATTAATCGGATATTTTAATGGGCCTATTTTAGATAACATGACTAGAACTTTTTGTCATGGCCAGGTTATCCTTTAAAACCCATAGTTTTATTGGCTTATTAATTTCTATGCTCTAATCTCATTGGTCCATTTCAGCCAGATTTCACGATCATCACCCACAAATACACGCACGTTATTCGCATAATTTTGGCTGGTACAAAGCGCAAAGCTTACTACATGTATTAATATCGAGTATTTGAATTAGAGCTTTTATTTATTATTGTCCATAAAAAATTGTCATCGAGGGTAGTGTTTCGGGCGAAACTCGTTTTACCCTACAAATCGGGTAAAAATAGTTTCGCTCGAAACACTAGCTAAAGCCCTTCAAATCTCTTTAGACGCGCGCCATATCCCGTAAAGATAAATCGATGAACGTAAAAACTCATTAACCTGTCAAGATCATTTGACAACCGGCTGGTAGGTTTTGAAAAAACTTTTTCAACATATTTTACACTAATTACTTATTCTTTTCCTCGTTACCATTTTCTTGCGAATCTTGAATTGAAGGACTAGATTCAACTTTAGGAAATAGAAGATTTGTTGAGAAGTACGCAACCTGATGATATTTAGTAATCGGATTATTGAAGGATTGAAACACAGCATACTCTGAAGTTATTTTGAAAAAGCCGTGGACACATTTCTCTTGGCAATTATTGGAGATCAAACTTATAAAAATCGGTTCTTGGAGTCGTGTTGTTACAAGTTGCGGATATTTTTTAAAAGTGACTTTGGATTTTTTCGATGGTAGCAGACAAAGACCTAAATTTTTTTTGGTTACTTGGGCTTGGCCAAATCGATCATTTTGTTGCCCCGAAATTACACTTTAAAATAAAAACCTAGTTCAGTAAAAAAAAAATTAAAGAATTTTCTAATGAATGTATTCAAAATTCACCTATAATTAACGAAAAATTCTGACGGCAAATTATCGAACTGATATATCGGCCTCACTTAAAAAATAGAATGCAATTAGTTTAATAGCAAATAAAAAGGTATAGTAAAAAAGCTATTACATTTTTCATCATAATGTTGTGTACATGCTCTAAGTTCATTATCTCCATAACCAAAATGGGCTCCCATGATAAGTTCAGATTTCGGATCATTTTGCAAATTTTTTGACTTAGAAACACAAGTTGATATAAGACCGGTATTTACATCCCGTTCTTGATTCTTAATAATAACCGAGCATTGATTATCGTTAAATGAAACCCTCGCACTTTCTAAAACAAGTTGCTCAGATAAATTTAGTGTTGATATTCCAACAACAATATATCCTAACTTTAAAGAAAAATTTTTTAAAGTTGATTTATTTTTTAATTCTCCTAATCGATGCAGAAGAATTACTGGCTGGCTTCTATCATCAACATAATGAAGTCGAGCCGCAAACACTGCCTTTGGATTGTCGTCACTCATTCCTGTTACAAATATTTGATCTGTGCTTGAGAATCTAAAATTTCTAGGAAATTCATATATAAATGGCTTTCTTATGGATAAGTCCAAAGTAATGTTAAGCTCAACAACTTGAGAAACGATTATTTGTTTTCCAAGTGCTTCCGATACTTCCAATCTTCGTTTATCGTCGAGAATATCAAATATAGGACGAATTTCTGAAAATTCAACTGCTTTCCAACTTCTATGATCGTTTAATGATTTAAGCCATCCTATAAATTTATTAATTAATATAAAAGTATTATAAATAAATTCGAAAAGCTGATGATGTAAAACTTACCAGCCATTCCTTGCTCATAATAGCACTCTTCTAGTCCACCATTTACTATTAAAAGTTTGAAGCTATTATTTGAAGCTTCCATGTTGCTATTGTCTCTTTTTATCCCAGCTGTAACTTCAATACCGACTGGCCAAGGTGGTGTTAAATTTGCTGCTGCGCTCAAATCTTTGGCTTTTTGGATTTTATTTGAACTAATTTCATTTGTTTCTTTATATATAATAATACCTCCAATCTCGAGCCTCTCACACCAAAAATGTCCAAAATCTTCGGTAACTTTTTTAAGTTGTTCACGTTTATTATCGGATTTGAGTGCTTCATCAATTGCATTTTCGAATTCTTTAGTCGGCTTTAAGTCAGTAACTGTTAAAATTGTCTTTACTTTTTTACTTTTGCGATAACCAGTTTTAATTCCCTTTTTTGCAGTATTTTGATTTGTTGTCTGACCACAAATATTTACGAACGGTGAACTTTATACATGTAGAAACGCACAAATAGCACAGATTAAAAAAAATAACGATAAATAAAAGAATTTTCGCGATCGTTATCCAAAAAAATCTTACCAATTTAAAGTGGCAACATAATTTTTTATATATGAATTTTGATTCTCTGTTTCGCAAATCACTACTTCATCGTAAATTGGCTGATTTTTTATTTCTTCTGTGTAAATCAAATCTGTATAAGCCTTTCTCTTTGCTAGCTGCGGTCCATTTTCAGTAAAATGAAGTCCAGAACCAAAATGAATATTTTCACCAATTTCTATCCAATTAATCTTCGCTTTAATCTTCAGAGTATCATTGGAAAGAATTTGAAATAGCAATAACTCTGATTCTTCGCTTATAGGGATTTGAACAGAAAATTGCATAAAGACCATGTTGTCGTCCATTTGGATTTCGTTTTTAGATAGTAAAATTCGAAGTTCTTTTAAATTGATATTTCTGTCAAGTTTTATAAGTATGGGTGTTTCTTGATTAACTTGAATTTTAATAGTGTTAGATGAAGTATCTTCCATGTTTATTAAAACAATTTTTATTGCTGAATACGAAAAAGTAAGCGTTTTGTTGATATTTAAAGTTTATGAATTCGAATTAGTTTATAAGGATGAAAATGAAAAATAAGAATGTACATGTATTAGCGAAAAATGAATAGAGGTTTATCGTTATTGATGATTAAAATCTCCGTGAATCTTCCGTTTCGATTTAATGCAACATTCACATACGTACTCAGTACTCATTATACATGTACATGTACATGTATAAACAGAATTCTACGTAAATAGACATCCATCGTAATGTACATGACTTGATACATGTACATATATGCATGGATTGTTCATACCGATACATGTATAAAGAAATATTTTAGTAATGATCATAGGTCTACTCATAAACTTACACTCGGGTACGTATAATCATAATTAGAACTTGCGAGCTTAAAAGTTTGAAATTAAAGTTTAGCCAATAAATGTGAAACGTTTTAACGATGTATACAGTATCGGTACGTATATTGCATTTAGAGATTCAGGAAAGAATCGCAGCATTATAATTCTAAAGTTCTATCTGCGCAAAACATTTTTTCAATATTTCCTTATTTATTATATCACCTGATATCGTATTTATTACGCCCAACGTTTAAGAGTGTGCATTTTTAGAGAGTAACGGTAAATAACTATGTAGAGATCTTGTATACATTTAGGATGTATATGGTGTGTGCATTTAGCGTTAGGGAGGTTTCTCTTTATTTAAAATTTCTAATTCTATCGTTATAATAAATTTATTAAAATAATCACTAGTTTTTTCACTATCAGAACACGTGCAACATAAAATTTATCCTTAAATGGTCAGTTTCTCGATTAAATTTTGATTTTTTCATTACAGATAAACCTCTCTAAATGCACCCTTTCGGGACCATATAAAAAAGATAGAGTATGCAGTTAGATAGGATGCGCATTTATAAGGGTAAATAATTAGAGACCTTATAAGTTCGAGACTGAGCAATACATAACGTGCATTTAGAGAGGGTGTCCAATAAGTATTTAAATCTAAATTCTTCAAATACATGCTGTAATTCTTTAAGCATTAAATTAATATAAATTTGAGGTATAGTTAAAATATCCATTCTTTGTTTGACCACTTTACTCAGCACTTTTTCTGTTGTTGAAATTGTTCCTTTAGGAATTTTCAAAGTATTGCTAATACGTAATCATACTGGCACCAGCTACAGACATTCAAAAAATTTCTCCCCGTTAAAAGCTGCTGTCAGTTTCAAATTTTTTTTATAAGGATGTAACAACCTCGGAAAATAGGATCGGCCAGAACCGGAAACTTTAACACGTGACCATTATTAAAGCCGATAAAAATATGCATTTACTAATTTGCCCCAAAGTTTTAATTGGATACAAATAATTTCCATCGCTGATTGGTTGATTGCACACTGGGTCTTCTACAGTGCTCGCCATATATAACGAGAATGATGTTTTTTCTTATTTTGCTATAAAAAATATATGAAAATTTGCAGATATACAGTTTCATATATTGCGATCAAGTTAGAATAACTTATTGTAATTACATCCAATTATCTGATCGAATCCTAATAGTACACTTTAAATGAAACAAAGACAATTAATCTAAATGGTAGTTTTTTTTATTACGTCATGAAAATTGATCGGAAATATATAAACATTTAAATATATACACTTTGATATATTGCAAACAAGTTTTCTTAGTATCTTAATATTAAAAAAGCTAAAAGAAAATTTTTAATTAAATTTAATTTATAACATTATATCAAAATTAAGATCAAATATTTGAAAATAATAGAAATAAGATATGTTCTTAAAAAAACCTGTTCGCAATATATTAAAGTATATATCTGTAAATTTTTATATATTTTCAAGCAGTTTCTATATTGCAAAAATAAAAAAAGGCATATTTTTCTCATTATATATGGCGAGCACTGTAAATCAACCAATAAAGATGCATAAATTTTTGATCAACTCGGCAAAACAAATTCGTCACAAAAAAATTAACAAGGCAAATAATGTGAAAAATACGAAAAACGAATGGGTAAACCTGGCTTGAATCACTAATAAAAAATGTCAGAAGACAATTTTACATATAATTTATCCTCCAATCCTAATCCTGACCCTTAATCCTAACGCTAAAACTAATCTTCAATATTCTCAACTATCAAAATTTGGGGAGGGGAAATTTAACATTCTTTGAATAAACCCATTAAAAGTACTAATTATAAAGTTGGTGAGCAATTTCAGTATTTCTGGTTGGTAGCAAAAATAAAACTGACCAATTAAAATTTATTTAATATTGGACATTTTGTGATTTTTCATCCATTATCCAATAACTTCACTAATATTATTCTGATTTTGTTGATCTAGAGTCAAAATTCTTTATAATAGTCATATTGGATTGGCACTTTTGAATTAGTATATAGTGCTTATATTATAAATTTCAATATATAGAATTTTTAAATAGTTAAAAATCAAAATTTCAATATAATATAAGCTGAATCTGATATATAATTAAAGCTTCAACCAGTTCAGATCAATTTAAAATCTGATTTGAATCTGATCCAAAAATTCTGGTTCAGATTGTGATTTTTCAATTCAAAAAAACTGGGTTGAATTTGAATTTAGGTTTATTTGCTATGTGTGAATATGCATGAATTATTATTATTGTGATAAAAATAAAAGTTAAATCATATAATTATTATAATACCTTTACTTAACTTATAATAATACTTATATATCACTTTCTTTAAAAATTTGCTAAAATTGATACCAAATATTAATCATTAAAATCTTAATTGAAGAATTCATCTTTATATCAAAAGATATTATTATAACAAGTATATATATTATAAGTTTAATTGCAGAATAATTATAGAATAATCACAATTTATCATGAAAATGATTATGATATGAGTTAAATTAATAATAAAATATTAATATATTTGATGCAAATATTGATATATTTGATACAAAATATTATTAATACAAAAATATTACATGTTGTTCATTTATTATAAAATAGTTTCTTGAGTGTAAAAGCAGTAATTCACTATAAAAGTAAAATTTGATATTTTTTAAATTCTCTTCTATTTGAAACTATTGTTATAAGTTTGTTTACTAATTGTTAAATTAGCTTACAAACAAGAATCTGAATTGTAAAAGAATATAAACTGATAAAGAAAATATTAAGAGAGAAAAGGGGTATCTAAGGTTTATGTCAATTTTTACGAAAATTGTATTTGCTTGTAAAAAATAATATGAAAGAGTTGTGAGAAAGTATAACAATTTTCACATATCCTTGTAATTTCTTGTATCATATTTATCCTTTTTCATGTTATATTTATCATTTTCTTGCATAACATGTAGAATTTAATAATGCTTCAACTGGTTCGGGTCAATCCAAAACCTGACCCAGATCTGATTCAAAAATCCCAGTTCGGGTCACAATTTTTCAATCTGAAAAAATCTGGGTCAGGTTCAGATCCGGATCAGGTTATACTTGGACCTGAACTGATATAACCTGACCGGTTCAGGTCAACCTGAAAATTTTGATTGAATGAAATTTTATGCAGGAAATTTTGGTTAAGAGACCACAGATTGATAATGAATTTGCATGAATTCTTATTGTTAAAGTTTTCTAGTACCATTAAAGGTGTAATCGACCACGTAACGAAAGAAAGAAGTTGACACATCTGGAATGTGTGCCAGGTTGATGCTGCAGCTGTCAACTATCTGACTGATTGTACCCCCAGTAACATTATATATATATACATATCGATATATATATATACGTATACATATATATACATATACATATATATATATACATATATATATACATACATACACGTACATACATAAATAATACTACCACTTTTTTTTAGGTTCTTGGTTAGCGTTAGTTAAATTTTATTTTCTTTGCCTTTACATATGGAAGATAGCAATGCACAAGGCATGGACATTGCTATCCCACAGGTTTGTTGAACCAACTTTTATATAAATTCAGTTTCATAACAATAATAAAATTAATAAAATATTAAGTTTTAGGTCTTTGCTTGGAATTCCTTACCTGAACTATTGAAACTGGTTCTTCCTCAGCATTATACATATATAATCAAATATTTTAATGAGTTATCACCATACTGAATACAGGAGAATTTTGAGGTTCCAAATTTTGAGTTGGACGCGTTTGTAAATATCAGTAATAAAGAAGATACATATAAATGATTTATGGCATTTCAATCCTGATCAAAAACAACCATGCCAAAAACAAAAAGTTTTGAAATCAAAGGAAATCGTGTGCTTTTTCGAGAGAAACGTCACTGTATTTATAGTAATGAAGTAAAGAAAAAACAAGGTAATCGTGAAACAAAACGTCTGCAATCATCCCGAGCACGAAATATATATTGTACTGTGACTATTTATTTACGATTAGAGTGTTGGTGAATTAAATTAAATCATCCTTTGGAAATAAATATAAAATTCACGCACAATCATGTTATTAACTCAGCAGAATCACTAAGTTTTCGGTATGTCAAGGAAGAGATTCGTGAAAAATTTGTGAAGTTATTTCAAAACGGATATTCTTCTGCTTCAGCATTGCATATACATGAGGATGAACTCCATCTTAGTGCTATGAATGAACAGGAATTATTGAAGATACTTGCAGATCGTGCCAGCAATCCGAATTATAACTATATCGCTAAACTTTTCCAAGAATATCGTAAAACTACACTTGGTAGTTGTAATGATAAACTAATGTTCGAACGTTTAGCAACAATAATCAAAAATTATAATAGCTTGGATCAGGGTAAGGTGGTATTACAAGAGTATAATGCGCGTACTGGAAAGACCTTTATTTTATATATTGTAACAGGTCTTATGTGTCGGGTACATGAAAAGATTTCACAAGCAGGCGAGTTGTGTTATATGGATGCTTCAGCCTCGTTTGAATCACTTAATACTTCGATTACTCTCTTTTATAC